TAACATATAGGTTACATACAGATATCTAAAAACAACAGTTGATAACATTGGTCAAACTTCGACAAGAGTTACAATTTAAACATATAGATCTCCATGTTCTTGGGTCCTCTGCATCAAAACAACTGGTTGTGTTCATGGTTGCATTGTAACATTAAGGCAATCGAGTCTGTCAACATCGGTAATAACTCTTGATCGCCACCTTTGTTTAAGACATACTCGGTCGCTGTGACCACCGCACTTACAGCGGCAATTAACACATGTTGAATTTTCTGGCACTTAGCATCGCTTGCCGGAGCCGGAGCTGATATTTGACCCCAAATTAACGGATTTACCCGTGGGGTTTTGAAACACAAAACATTTGCTGGCCGAGGATACTTTTTGAGTTTTTCTTGAAGCTTATCGTCGGCAAGCCGTTCCTTCAATAAGCTAGAAAGAATGACCGCTAATTCAGCATTTATCGCTTGACCAGTTTTCTCTTCGATTGCTAAATCTTGGGCGATACTGGTTAGAAGATCTGGCGTTGAAGTGGTTTGCTGCGATTGAATCATTCGTGACTCTGGTATCTAACGACAGCAGGTCCTCTTCTTGTTCAGATTTGCTTTGAGCTTCAATTTCTCTTCAGTTAGCCAGCGTTCGTCGTCAATGGCGTCTCTCGCAGCTTCGTCTCGTTCAACTTCGGTGACTTCACCAGATAAAGAACAACCCTCGTTGCGAGGAGCCGCTCCCTTCAAAGTTTTAATTTCCATGAGTAGCAAAGCAAACATGTCATTCAGCGTGCTGGGCTTTGTACCTTCAACGCTTGCATTGGTTTCGACCGAATGCTGCTGCTCCTGCGAGATATTGTAGAAGATATGTTGAACGCGTTAAGGTTACAGAACACCTTTGAGTGTTAATTTTGCCTAAAAAATTTTTATTGAAAGCATTTCCATGAAAGCATTAGACTAGTTCTACTATCTGACCAAGTTTGAACGAAAAATGTTGAAAACTCGCAGAGTCATTCAATAAAATCACATTTCGCTGCAATAAGAAAAACATTGAAAATGTAATATTCAAATTCAATTTTCTCCCGAAAAATTTTACGGTAATTACTGATTTTCAAACGAGTTGTGCTCCTGCGAGTTTTAACCAATTTTTCTCAAATTTTCACAGGACATAGCTAAAGACGTCAGTTTCAAAATTTTTTTCGGATCTTTTCTAATTTTGGATATTTTAAAAATAAAGAGCAATTAACTGAAACAATTCAAAAATATATTGCAGTCGTCAAAGAAATCGCCATATCAGCGGAATGACGAAATAAACAAAAATTTCCGAACACAATTTTTAAGAACAACTATTTTACTGTATAAAAATGATATTCTCATAAGTATATCTTAAAACCAGCAGGAGCACAACTCAAAAGCGTAATCGTACCGCGATTTAAGATTTTCCTGAATAATTCTTACTTATCTTATTGTTTGCTAATTTTACAACTTTTTTGCATGCACTGGGGAACATTTGGTGAAAATTATCGAACTGATATTGAGCGCGCAGTAGCGATTTTCCGCAAAACGCCCAAAAGGGTGTCCTGTAACCTTAAGGTCCAACACACTGGACGCGATTCGACAACGCGACGCGATTTTTCGATTTTCACTGACCGATAACTTTAATTCTAGTTTAAATTTTTCAAATATTTAGAAGCGCTATAATATTTTGAGTTATTTGGTCTACATATCTTTCACAATTTGCTCTCATTGGCTGTTTTATTAACTTTCAAAAACTAAAAAATCGCGTCTCGTTGTCGGCGAATCGCGTCCGGTGTGTATGGACCTTTAAACGTTTATGTGAAGGTAATAGCGAAACCAACTACGTTGGACACTCATTTTCAAATTCCCAAAGCAATTCCAACTACGTTGGAAGTATTTTATATTAATTTGTTAAGCTATCGTTGAAACGTCTTTCTTGAACCATCACAAGTCGTGCAATGAACCTACGTATGTGTTGTGCTTCTCATGGGAGCTCCTGCCTTTGGGCATGTGATAGAATTTGCTTTTTGTATGATTGTCGTAAAGGAATCCAAGATAGTTAATCAGAAATCTGCTAGCTTTTAGCAGATCACGTGACCGGCTTCTACCACGGTCTTTTTTCCACAAGAAGAAAGACCCTGGATATGAGGTTGATAAGACCTGGAGTTATCGTTCCAGTTTATATGGAGTTCACAGCATGGGGCTTTGTCACTTTGTGTGCCTGCCCGACTCCATTTAAACAGGCCGTCGGCCCTGTTTGCCGTCAAACTTTTATCTTAAACATACCCCTAGAAGCTTTTATATTCGCTTTGGATGTTACTCTGAGTGTATATCCACACCGGGCAGGTTGAAAAGTTAGCCTGACCAAGGTGGGAATCGAACCTGCGACCTTTGGGATACTAGTCCAATGCTCTGCCAACTGAGCTGCAAGCCTGCTCGGTGTGGATATACACTCAGAGTAACATCTAAAACATTATATTCACCTGAGTACATAACATCAAAACACACACAAAGAAATTTTATAGTCTCATTTGAATCAACTGTCACATCACGTTTTTTTACAGATTTAAATTGCGAGGCAATAATGTTACATCAAAATACACCATGCAACGTTTTGACGACAATCAAAAACACAAAGTGGAGTTCCACGTTATGAATACGTATATCAAACTCAACGTTGATGGCAAACACGAAATTCGCGCTGATGGAGATTTTAGAAATTTTTTTCCCAATAATAGTAAAGCATATCTTGGTGGGTTTAGTCGAGATATTGGCTATCATAAAGTGTAAGTACATAATACAGGGTGAGTAAAAAAAAACTGACACCTTTGTTATTCAAATTAACCGCGAAGGTATCAGTTTTTTTTTACTTACCCTGTAGTACACCTTTTGGTCCACGTGTTTTAATGTGAGGAGCGCATGCACACATGCGTTCTGCTCACGCGCGTGTTTTGTTTACATATTTTGTTTGAAACAATGGATAACAATTAAAATTCTTATCTATGGTCCCATACATTAATTAGCACATCGCACATTCACAATACGTCACGAAAGATAAAATTGAGCCGCTAAAGGCCTAATTCCACGACGAGCGAAATGCGAAAAATTTCGCGCGAAAACACACTTGAGCGAAAATTTTCTCTCGTAGTGATTTCCACGACGAGCGAAATGCGAAAAATTTCGCGCGAAACACACTTTTGCTAAAATTTACGCGCGATTTTTTGAATGACATCAAAACAAATATGGCGTTAGATGAAGAAGCATTGATTTACCTGCTTATTCTTTATCGCAGAAGAAAAAGACGTATTCGTAATAAAAGCAAGAAAAGATTTTGGGTACGAAGGTTATTTCAACAGCGAAGAACTCATGGAGAATATAATAATTTAGTGAAAGAGTTGGAATTGCATGATCACGAGCTTTTTTTTAAGCAGTTCAGAATGTATCCCAGCCAGATGGAAGAGGTTCTCAGTTGGGTAGCACCAAAGATTTATAAACGTGAAACTCGAGCCGATGTTATCAAACCTGGAGAGAGATTATGCGTTACCATGCGATACTTAGCCACTGGTGATGCGTTCTCCACAATTTCAATGAGTTACAGGATTGGAGAAACAACTATCTCAAAAATAGTTCGTGAGACCACTGATGCAATTTGGGAAGTTATGGTGGAAAAGGACTTTTTGCGTGTACCAGTGAATAGCCAAGAATGGCAGAAAATTTCAAGTGGATTTGAAAAACGCTGGAATTTCCCAAATTGTTTAGGTTGCATCGATGGGAAACATGTCAATATACAAGCCCCTGCCAGAAGTGGTTCTCTATTCTTCAATTATAAAAAAACTTTTTCCATTGTACTCCTTGCAGTTTGCAACGGAAACTATCAATTTACAATGGTTGATATTGGTGAAGCTGGTAGACAGAGCGATGCTGGAGTCTTTTCAAATAGCAATCTTGGCCATTCCATTCTGAAAAATCTTCTTCCCGTACCAAGACCAAGAAGGTTAGATAGCACTAACACTTTGTACCCTTACGTCTTTCTTGGAGACGACGCCTTTCCATTGCGTCCGAACTTACTCAAACCCTATGCTGCAACAAATTTAGAGATTCGAAAGCTTGTGACCAACTATCGAATATCAAGGGCACGACGGATTATTGAGAATTCCTTCGGGATACTCGCAGCAAGATTCAGAGTATTTAGACGACCGATCAATGCTAAAGTGGAATCAGTGGAATCAATAACCAAAGCTTGTGTGGCAATGCATAATTACCTGATGGCTAATAAAAGTTTTGACAGCCGATACTGCCCACAAGGTTTCGTGGATAATTATGTCAATGGAACCCCTATGGAGGGCGAATGGAGAAGTATGGTATTAGGTAGTACTGGCATGAGTGACGTTACAAGAATTGGTTCAAATAATTATTCACAAGAAGCAAAAACAGTTAGAGACAATTTTTGTACCTATTTCAACTCAAGTGAAGGAGAAATCCCTTGGCAGTGGCATGCTTATAATGTAGAAGTAAGGAACACTTAGAGTTTTGCAGTTCATTGCAACCTCATACCAAGGTTCTCAATCTTCGCTCCTACCTCGCTTGAATTTAGACCCTGATTCTGGCTGGTCATGTGACCGATCATATTTTGGCGGATTTGCTCAATTGTTTTAGGGAAAGTATAGTAAGAAGATATTGTAGTAAACATTAATATTGTTAAAATAACATTACAAAACAAAACATCTCAGTTACTATCCTTTCCCTAAAAACAAATTAGCAAATCTGCCAAAATATGACTGGTCAGGTGACCAGCCGATACAAGGGTCTCAATTCATGCAAGGTAGGAGCGAAAATTGAGAACCTGGGTACGAGGTTGAGTTCATTGTTCTTTAATTGTAAACATGATAAAAATCTAGTAAACTTAAAGAACTTTCTATTATATTATTTAGTTTCTCATTGTTTGCAACTATAACAAATCAAATAACTCAAATAAAACGTTATGAAATATGAACATGTCTCAGTTCTTTCAATCAATTCAAGGCATCTCAATCATCCTCCATCTCTTCCAAGAGAAGTTGCTGAATTTTGATCTTCATTGCAAGGTTTTTCTTTGGTGGGAAATTTCTTAAGATATCAGTAATACTTTTGCAAAATAAATCATTAGAATCTTCATTAACCTTCTCAGTTTTTTTGTCATTTATTGCATTTATTAAATACTGATCAACCTCATCAATTTCTTGTGACTTCTTTCTCTTGCGAGGAACTATTGTTGCCTGAGGCTCGGGATCATCAAGGCTTTCATTTAAAGCAGCATTATCATCACGTGAAATCACTTCTGACGATGATGATGTTGAGGGGGATGGAATTCGAATGTTTGCTGTTGGAAGTGTGACATTGCTGTGGGTAGAACGATTACACAAATTGTCGCGAAGAAAAGATAGTTGATTATAGTATCGACAACGAGGTGTTTTAGTAGCACCAGAACCAGATCTGTTATTGTCACGTTCTCTGTCCATGCATTTCTTGTAACTGTCACAGAGATTCTTCCATCTGTTTTTTACATAGGTAACTACAAATAATGAAAATATCAGCCTCATTGATTATTTGATTAGAAAAATTATATTTAAAAACTTGTTTTGCTTCCACTTAATCAGGCATGTCTCTCAAAAAGATGGTTTAAAACAGCAAGTGCAATAAGAGCATGTGGTAAAAAGTACATGCATAAAAATGAAATAAGTGACTGGTCATTAATAATGGCCGGGGGAGGGCGGTGGGTAATAAATACCAAATATTGAACTTTTTTAGAGCTGCCCCCAATCGCAAGACTTTATTTTCAAGATGCCCCCACCTCCATCTACAAAATTTAGGACCCCCCTCCAACATTTAATTTAATTGTTACATTTTTTGTTGTAAAATAGGTAATGGGACAAGTATTCAAAATGGTTATTATTTACTCCGACTTCTATGGTGAACTGCATACTGTATATGTAATAAACTACTGTATGGAAATTACGATTATAGGAACTAAAAATAGGTTTAAATATTTTGAAAATGAGTAGGAAAGTATTAAAAAATTGGGGTCACCCGTTGTCACATATGTTTCAGTTTGAGGCCGCCCCCAATTCAGGCAAAAATAGTTGAAGCCGTCCCCCTTTTCTCACACACCGCCCCCTCCCATTATTTAATGACCGAACCCTAAGTATTAAATTGCCTTATCAATTTAAATAACAATCAAGTGTTAAACAGTGAGAGCACTGGATCAATGTAACTATGAAGTGTACCATTAAAATAAACATATGCCATGCATTTAAGCCAATAGTTGAAAATCAAAAGCAACCCGAATATAAGCCCCTCCCCCATGTACAAGCCTACCACACATGTAATGCTCACCCTATTCCAATATAACGCTGGAATATGTAAGCTTTTAAACATTTTAATTTTGAGCATACATCACCCGCGAGCAAAGTCCGCTCGTATTTCTTCTCGGCACGGCACAGAGAAGCAAGAGAGACTCTGCAGCCTATTTCCCAGAAGAAGATTTAATATTTAAGTAGTTTCCGGTTCAGATCAAAACCGGTTATAAAACCAGTATCAAACCTGAAATTATGCATAATTATCCAAGCTTTTGGACTGTCGGCTCCACAAACAATAAACACAAGTTCTGCAGAGTCTCTCTTGCTTCTCCATGCTTTGCCGAGAAGAAATACGAGAGTACTTTGCTCGCAGGGTAAGCATACATAAAAACATTCCCTGAAATTTAAATTTCTTTATCTCACAACATGCAAATGTCAAATTAGTAATAATAAATGCTTATAAGTTATAACTACAACTGTAATAAGCTATTACACTATATAAGCATTTACTACAATTTAATTTGATATGCTAAGACCTAAATTGCTAACATTAGTAACATAGAATTAATTAATATTATCCAATATCCAATTTATTAATTAATTGAATAGATTTTGTTAACAGTGAACTAGTGAAGACTGTGAAGCACAGTTAATGCCTAAAGAGTCAAAATTTAAGTGCTGTTAAACCAACTAAATTTGATAACAGAGTTTTCAAAGAAAATACCCCCCCTGGCCTAGGATCTAAGAAAGGCTTGAATTATTTCCAGGTCTGTCTTTAGAGCTTACTATGTTAATCAAAGCATGATATTATTAATACATGTTTATTTTCCTGTTTATGACTGACTTGTTTATTACTAACACAAAAGATCATCCACGTATAAGCCCCTCCCCTTGTATAAGCCCATCAAAAATTGCTTACAAAAGAATATAAGCCCAGGGTTTATAGTCGGAGGTCAGGGGTGGGTTTATGGGGGTGCAAAAAATCAAATTCAGAAATATGGCACAATTTCCAAGGTTTTTCCTTTTTTGAAGTCAAACTGAAGCTGATAATTCAATGCCCATATCGCAGGAAAGGGCATTTCTAGGATTCTAATTTTCAAAATTTTTCGGTGGCATACTCCTGGACCCCCAGGGAGCTTGCGCCTTCGCCGCTCAAGTCGTTAGGAAAGCCAGTTCATTTGAATGATCTCCCACCACCCCCTAAAGAATTATAAAGAAACACTGAGCTGCTCACCCAGAGCTCCCATAGAAAAAATTTGCTGGATCCACCCCTGTCAGAAGTCTACGGTATGTATTTGTATTTGTATTGAATAAATCCATTTACCAAGTCAAATCTGAAATACAAATAGAGTTTGTCAGTTAACCGAGTCAAATCCGAGTCAATTCAGAGCCCGAGTCAAATGTCCAAGTCACGTTACAAAAAGACGAAATTGAACAAAATTAATAATCGAATAGGGTTAGGAGTATGGTTGGCCAGGTAGGGGTTAGGGTACTTACTAGTAAGTCATTGAACTACAAAGACTAACAGTGACTCTGGCATTTGACTCTGGCATTTGACTCTGGCATTTGACTTGGGCATTTGACTTGGGCATTTGACTTGGGCATTTGACTTGGGCATTTGACTTGGGCATTTGACTTGGGCATTTGACTTGGGCATTTGACTTGGGCATTTGACTTGGGCATTTGACTTGGGCATTTGACTTGGGCATTTGACTTGGGCATTTGGCTCGGACTCGGATTTGACTCGGTTAACCAACAAACTATACCTGTATTTCAGTATTTACAGAAACCATGAAATCATGTATGAGTGCATGACTGAGATTAAAAAATTGGTAGTGAATACTCACCATCACATTTAAGTTTTTTTGCTATGTTTGCCCACACTATTTTCTTCTTATCTGCCCTTTTGTAATCAGGACAATTTCTTAACCAGAGAATTGGCATAGACTGGATTTCATTTATCAGTATTTCGTTGAAATCGTCGTCATGCGACTCATGCCTACTCGGCCTGGTTACTTCTGTTCTATTTTCGGTTAATATTTGAACTTCTGCATCTATATCTGTTTCCTGTAATGCTTCGGGCTGTGACTGGTTAGCTTGGACTGTCTGTTGCTGTGCTCCTAAAAGTTGCTGGAGTAAAATAGATGTATCTCCGGACAACAACATATTGTTCAATTCAGACGCCATTTTGGATTTGTACTTTATTGCTTTGTCAGCAATTTTAGAATGTCGTCATCCTAAACACAAGCATTTGATTGGTTTCGCTATTTCCATTTCGCAACGGAGTAGAAATGAATTCAACTACCCGGCGAAGAGAAGCGAAGAGAAAAATTTCGCAGAGAAATACTCCAAAATCGTGTTGCGCATGCGTTCAACCTTTTTAAGCGAAATTTTTCGCATTTCGCTCGT